TCTCCTTTCCTGATTTTGAACCATACAGTGTTTCCTTGCTTTGTTCTGATGACGTCCTCTTGTTCCAAGTAGAGGTTTCACATTAGCACGATCAAGTGTTCTGGGATTCCCATTCTTCTCAGAGTCAGCCACAGTTTGTTATGATCCACACAGTCAAACGCCTTTGCAAAGTCAAGGAAACACAGATAGTTATTCCTCTGTTATTCTCTAAGGGTTAAATCGGGCTGCTCCTTGGAGGCAAGGATTCTGAAGCTTTATCCGACCCTTGGACTGATGATGCTGTAGGCTAAGTGTTTGTGATTAACCAAAAAGGTCAGCAGTTCAAACCCACCAGCCAATCCAAGGGAAAAAGATGAGGCAGTGTGTTCCCATAAAGAATCACAGTCTCGGAAACCTATGAGGCAGGTCTAGGTTGTCTTAAAAGGTTGCAAAATCTCTTTAAATTTTCATTAAAATTAATAAAATAAAAATAACAATAACAATTAAAATAAAATGTTATTTTAAAAAATATTTTAAAAAAAGGTTTCTTGTTGTGCATGGTCAAGTTGGAACTGACCCATAGCTGACCCTTCAAAAGCAGTAAACTGCACAGGAACAAGTGGGCAATCGCCTCCCGCATGATTAAACCGCCTCTGAAAACCCACTGGAGGGTCATCAATGAGTCAATTCTGACTTGACTACATACAACATGCCACCAGATATGGCAGTGAGCTTTTCATGATTGAAAAATATTCTCTAATAGGGTGAACCATAGGAGCCCTGAAGATACAGTGGTTAGAGAGAGTGCTTGGTGCCAATGGAAAGAAGCAGCAGCCTGGGCCTGTAAAGATCGCCAGCCTGGGAAGCCCTATGTGGCAGCTGTCACTAGGGTCACAATCTATCAGAGTCTGTGCAGCCCATTATGCTTCCTCAGTGGCCCCTCCTCCCGAGGGGCAGGGGAAGGTAAAGCAGGCTACTTGGATAGGAGTGGGGGTCAGTGAGCACAGGCAGCTACAGGTCAAGGGCAGATGCTAGGTCTGACGATCCTCACCACCTTGGCTGCAGCTCTGGGGACATGAAAGTGGGAGAGGGTAGGGTCACCCAGTGAAAGCAGGAGATAATAGGTAAAGGGCTGACAGGGGGAATCAGCAGACATCATGTGCACCCTCACCCCACCTCCTGCAGCACTCAGGCCCTTTCAACCATGGACGGGGTGCCCCTGCCTCTGACAAAGCATTCTGGGAGTCACAAAAAGGAGAAGCAAGCACCAGTTATTGTGAAAACACAACAGAGACAGTATGGACTCTGTGGGGGGTGGGGATGCGAGCAATATTTGGGAGGACCTGGGGGAGGATGGGTTGTCCTGGTGCAGTATGAGGGAGTGAGATGTGGCTAGGCAGGTGATCTCAGAAGGAGCCCAGTGGGACAGTCACAGCACAGGACATGGGGTAAGGTGACAGGGTAATTCTCCATTTGCACACAACACCTAACAATGGGAGTGAAGTGAAGAGTGGGTGTACTGTAAGCTGACTTTTGAAGCCATTTTTTCAGATCCTTTTAACCCTATTCTGCCACATGCTAAATATCAGTTCCTTTAACTATGGAGCTTCTGGAGTAGCTTACAGGGCTTATGTCTATGAGTTCAGATAAAAATTTCTGGGGTGCTGGATTCCATTTTTGTACCTCCAGCCTATTCTACATGGACAA